GCTATTATCCTGTCCCTTCTTGTTGAAATGCCGTGGATATCTCTGCCAAAGGGAGAAAAAAAAAACAAATGGTTCAATTTAACAGCGAAATCAGAAACCAAGAAAACAAGGGCAATTTCTGTTAATCTTTTGTTTTTTCCCCTTACTATCAGCATAAGGTGGGTTCGGCAATACCTTAAAGCAATTACGCCTGGGAAGATGAAGGCAAGGCAGACAGCAGAAGTTGATCCCATGAACTGAAAGAAGTACCATATACTGGGAATGGCTATTGCTGCAACGTAGGAGAAGCCTAACAAGACTAGAGTAAGAATGACAAATCTCTTGTTATCTGTTGCCAAAACAGCCCTCTTAGGGAACAGAAGTTCATCGATGTTGGCCCTCAAAGAGAAGTTGACAAGTGGAAACACCAGCATCAAATGGAGTGCATAGCTCAGTCTAACTATGTCATTGAGTAATGAGCTAATCGTTGAACCAGAACCTTGATCAAAATTCACCAGTATGTCATCCATGACCGAATCCCCGAAAAGGAGGTACCCGAAAATGCCAATGGTGAAGTAGAGAGCACCACAGAGTACTAATGAGATTCTGACGGCCGAGATCATAGCAGCAGGTTTACCAAGCTCAACTCCAATAGGATGAACTACCAAGCCATTCACCAACAAAATTTGTTCGAATATTAGACAGAGTGGACAAGCACATTGTTAAACTTTTTGTGAAATGCCACAAAAAAGTCAAGCACTTGAAGCATACTTGTTCTTACCATTGAAGTGAAATGTAAAGGCTGTAATAATAACAGGACAAGCTGTGAAAAGGTTGAAGAAGGACGCTCCATTATCAAGCTCTGGTACTATCCTTATACTCCTAGTTTCTCCACGCGAAAGTGCATATATTGCCATCACTGAGCATATTCCAACGAATACAACTGCTAGAAATACTGCTACTGCTGAACTAAGCCATAAAGATTCTGCAATCAAAAGCCAAGTGAAACAGACACTAATTCATAAGCAATATGCAATCATGTCTCATACCGTGTAAAAGATCATTGTCGATAGTGTTACACTTTGCATGAACATGTTAAGAAGTAAAGGAACGGCTCAGAAGAAGACTTGGTGGTTATCACTCACCTACTCTGCGATACAAGACTAGCGGTAGCATGACAAACAAAACTATGAAGAGGATTGCAACCGCACGCTCATTCCACCAGTGGACGCCAAACCATTCTTGTAAAACACCCAAGTGCTCTGCCCCTTTCCCAGAGAGGACATCTCCTAATAAACATTGTAGAAGCGGTAAACAACCACTTAATTGCAATAATGTAAACGATCCCGACAAAATCATGCACAGATAGCACCAGAGTCACTTTTACGAGGTTGATAACCATCACTTAATACTACGTCATCAACCCCGTCCGATTACTAGTAGGTAATCAGAACTTGGACACAAGAAAACATGCTGAGCTTATTTTAGCAGGTAGACTTGCAGTATATGGTTAACTTAAAACCAAGATGTTGCTTACCGATGATTATTAGATAAATGATCAAGCAACCAAGATTGGTGAGCATGACACAAATTTGAACCGCCACGGAACCAACCCGACCAAAAGATTCATACATTAATCCGGCATACGTCCTGGACTCGCCGTTGTACGTAAACCTTAGCAAGAACTCGACCGATATATCTACTATCACGCCGATCACCACTATCATCACAAAAGCTGGAACAACGCCTAAGACTTTAAGGGTCGCAGGGATGGACATAATCCCTGCACCAATAATACTCGTGGAGACATTGAACACAGCACCAGGAATCGATGGTCCTTTCTCCGGTGGCGAGTCGAGGTCCGGCAACAGAGGAACGCGTGCTCCGGCGTCATCCTTTACTGCCGGAGCCATCATCCCTCGCTGGAAGTTGGCTGGGACTCGGGCTTTGGATATGCTTTATATTTGCGCCTGATGTTTGTCAGCTGTTGCTCTTTGCCTCTTTCTTGCCTTCTACTTCATGAATGTTTCAAAATTTATGGACCAGTTCGTGCATTGACCAACGTGGCCTCTCTAAAGCAGCAGAGTCAAATTTTCGGCAGGTGGGTGAAACGATATTATATTGCAGAAATTCTTTTCTTTGGACATGAGATGAATTCGAATTGTCTTATGTTGCACCGAAAGGGGAAAAAGAAATTATTGTTGTTGGCTATCACCATTTCCCCCCTAGAGGCAAGGAAATCAAGGGTAAAGAGGGAATTTAGTGGTAAAAATTGTGTAGCATGGGCGGCTGGGATGGTGGGACGTGAGTACTTGTGGTTCTGGCTGGCAGGAAAAGTGTACATGGACGTGGAAATAGAGAGTTGAATTAAGAATATGACAATGTATGTGGTCGGAATTGTGGGTGATATAAGGTTGTCTGAGTCCTGTACATGATAATTATTATTAAGATTAATCGCACTTTATCCCCTTTAAGTATAAGTCGTTTCTCACTTTAGCCCCCAACATTTGTTTTTCCTTAGTTTATCCCCTCGGTCAGCAATTGCACCGTTAAAAACTTCAAGATTTCGAAATTGCCATACGAAAAGGGCTGTTAGTTTTAGCTGACAAAAATGCCCCTCAATGGTGTCTGATGCTTTTAGCCTACTTTTTCCCTCAAAGAGCCGTTGGTTGGGGTTCTATAAAAGGTGGTATTTTGCAGCCAATTTTTCTCATACATTTTAGCAGATTCCAAAGTTCATAAAATTTCTCTTTGTCAACCAAAAGCATCATAAAATGTCACAAAGTGCTTCAAATAATGTTGAAAGATCAGCCCAAAAAATGTGTGGATGTGGTAAAGAGGCACCATTGTGCACCCCTTTGACACTTGAAAATCCGGGAAGAAGAGTTTACGACTGCTCAAATTACAACGTAAAAATTTTTCATTAATAATTTGTTAATATTGTCTTTAATTTGGCTCTATACCTGAATAAGTTAGAAAGAGTTTAAACAACTATTTTTTTTTATGTATAACCGACATGCATGTGGGCACTTTCATGGATAGTTCCTGAAGTTTGTAGCAAAACAAAAGAAGTAAGTGCAGTGTTGCAATCTAGACTGGTGGAGCAAAAGGAGAAACTAATGTACTTGCAAAGGGAGCATGAAAAATTGGCAAATGAGCATGAAAAAATTGAAAAACAGATATGAAGCCTTAGAAACAGGGATGTTGCTGTAATATGTTTATTAGTCAAAGAAGAGGTGTGGAAAGGTGGGAGAATAGGAGGTATAAGTGATTATGGCCACAAACGGAAGGGAAAATGTGTTGGATGGGCACGTGTAAAGGTCTTTTGTGATCTAGAACCTGAAGACCTGTTGGGCGTTGCAGTTAAGCAGAAAGGGGATAGGAAAAGTTGAGGGGATTCCAACCGTAAATGTGAAATGTGGGGCTCTTTTATTCAACAACGGATTTATTTTTATATTATCCGATAAATAAATTAGAATTTAAGGAAAATGGGCACTGTGTGAGTATAATGAATGAAAGTCATAAAGAACTGGTATTTTATTCAACAACGGGTTTAAATTTATTTTTAACTAACAAGTAAATTTCTATTTAAGGCACCTTGGGTACTGTGTGAGCATAATGGACGAAAGGCATAAAGTGCTGGTCTTTTATTCAACAACGGATTTATTTTTATTTTATTCGATAAATAAATTTCTATTTAAGGCACCTTGGGTACTATGTTGTTGTAATGGAGGAAAGTCATAAAGAACTTGTTTTTTATTCAACAACGAGTTAATTTTTATTATATCCAATAACTAAATTTTTGTTTAAGAAAAATGGGTACTTTATTCTTATAATGGACGAAAGCTTTGAAAAGCGAGACTCTTTTATTCAACAACGAGTTTATTTTTATGTTATCCGACAAATAAATTAGTATTTAAGGAAAATGGGTACTCTGTGAGTATAATGGACGAAAGTCATAAAGAGTTGGTTTTTTATTCAACAATGGATATATAAAGAACTGGTCTTTTTTTTTTTTTTCCCGTGCCAGATGGAGGGAAATTTCCCTCTATTATTCCAGGGTAATTTTGGAAACTTGCATTTCATAAACCGGCATCTATGGGTATTTTGGGTTGTTCAGTATTTTCATAAGGATATTATTGTCTTTTCAATATTTCGTTTATGTCAATTAGAGTTGACTATTAGTTTTTGGGGTAGACTGAGGAAAAACAAACGTTGAGGGGTAAGGTGAGAAACAGCCTATACTTGAAGGGGATAAAGTGCGATTAACCCTTATTATTATTATTGTCTGCCTGTCATTCATCAAAAAGTGCTGTCGGATGATCTACGATGCGGATCCCTTTCAGGGTTACGTAGGCCTGTAGAATTTTCAGCCGACGACAAATCTTTGGTGGACGAGGGGTCCCGACGGATGGAGCAACCAGCAATTGCTACTAATGATTATAGCATATCGTATGCACGGCCCAATAAAAATATAAAATACTACACCGTGGGTTGTTGATAATTAGCCGCAGCCAAACCGCGGGTTGTTGGCTAGGCGATGGATCAAGAAGAGAAGAGTTACTACAAAGTATGCTGGCTTGTTGTGTAGGCAATTAATGCAAATATCAGAATCAATCGCTGCCAGGGACCTCCATCGCGTCATGTTCAAATCATTTCCAACCCTCTTTCAAGAATGGAAAACCCTTGATTTGAGACTTTGAATGCATTGAACTCGTCCATGGAGAGGTTGCCTGCTTTGACTATTTTATTTTTCTGATCTTTTTCAACTGAGACAAACTAGTGTTACCAGGTTTTCCATACACATTTAAGTCGTGCGTTTCCTTGAATGGATTGATCATGCCAAAAGCACTTTTTTGCTTGTAGTAAAGAATTAAGGCATAGTCTACTAACAGCCTTTTTTTTTTTTTTTTTTCTCTTTTTTGAAAGGGATACAGCTTTTTTTAAAAGAAAAAAAAATTTATTCCTGTCAGGGGAAGGAGAGCGTAGTTTTATCTATATGTTGATCATGATTCAATCTCTTGGGATCCAACAGGACCACCGCCTATTAATTAATTAGGTTTCAAAAAAAGAGGGAAGCTGGAGGGAGCTCAAGGCACCAAAACTACAAGTGCAGGAAATCCAACCTAAGAGCAAATGCAGGGCTTTCCAGGTGCTTCATTTCTGTATTAAAATTCTCCTTCACCATCTATCATAACATTTTCCAGGAATGCTGACACACGATTCCTTTTTTTTTTTTTAATAACACTTTATGGACACACTTGTTGCTCAGTTCACAGTGAGTAACAAGAAGTCAATAAAAGAAACATCTTGCGAGTGACGGAGATTCTCAAGTCAATGCCTGAAAAATCTCACGGTTAACCTGTGAATTAACCGCGGCGGCGACCTCTAGGAGGCCCTTTACCCATTTCCCCTGCCTCTGGAAAAGCCAAAGCGGAGAGAGTCAAAGGCAGTATAAAGGAGTGTTATTGTCTCAGGATGTATGATTACCTCCGCATTCTCATCACTTTCCTCCATTCTGCCACGTCACTTGTCATTTCTTTCCAAAGTAGTTGTATATATTAGAGGAAATGGCAATCAAACTAGTCCCTGCCGCAAGGACGATCACCAGTGTGGCCAGAATCCTATCACGGCATGTGGATATGCAATGAACATCCCTGCAGGAAATTTGCAAAAAACGAATACTCCACAAGGTGAGAAGCACATTCATTACATTTAGATTAAACAGAGAGAGAGAGACAACAGAATTTCATACCTAAGAATAAGCGAGCTTGGGAAAATGAACATGAGGCACACGACTGTGGTTGTTCCCATAAACTGGAAGAAGTACCATATATTTGGGATGGCCACAGCAGCCACATAAGTAAATGCAAGCAGAACGCAGGTCAGAGATAAAAATCTGATAGAATCTGTCGCCAACAAAGGTCTCTTTGAAAAGAGAAGTTCGTCCACATTAGCTCTCAAGGAAAAGTTCATCACAGGAAAAACCAGCATGAGGTGAATTGCATAACTCAACCGAATAGTGTCATTGAGTAATTTACCAATGACGGAATCCGAAACAGCATCAAAGTTGACGAGCATGTCGGCCATGATTGAGTCGCCAAATAGTACGTAACCGAAGAAGCCAACCGCAAAGTAAATGGCGATACAGAGTACCAGAGAAATCCGAACTGCCAAGCTCATTTGAGAAGGTCTTCCCAGCTCTGCTCTTATGGGATGAACTGCAGAATTGAGGAGCCCAGAGAATAATAGTACATTTAACAGAAGCCGGTCGTAATTGGCATTAGTCAATCAGCGAAAATACCTAAGAAGGATTACATTGGCAGCTTTCCAATGAAAGACTAGAAAGTAAATGTGCTCAAACTAAAAGTATAGGAACACGCGTGGATTGCAGGATCTCAAAGCTGTCAGAATACAAATAATTTAGCTTAACACATTTGCTTTCACTTATAAAACCAGGGTAGCAACTTAAGCTATCCACAATTAAAAAAAAAGAAGCTCTAAGCAAGACTTGAGTGAACGGCTTCAAGGATGCAGACAATATGACATAGAGCCAGCATTGTGGGAATTTAGTAGTTCAATTCCTAATCATTATTTAATGCTTTTCCACTTATCTTTTGCTGGCACTGTCACATGGAAAATTAAGTATAATGACGCAGAAAAAATAGAACAGTATGCCCCCACAAAAGAATAAACTCGCTACTGAGTAGAGCATCAAGGTCCCAGAAAAACATGCTAAATAAAGAAGTAATACTTTGCTAACTATTCAAGACATTCTATATGATCTCTTACCGTTAACATGGCATCCAAAGGCTGTAGCAATGACCGGAATTGTGGTGAAAAGATCAAAGAACGACATCCCATGCGCAAAGTCTGGTACAAGTCTTGCTTTTTGTGTTTTACCTTCCCACATTGCTTGTATGGCCATTCCCGAACAGAGCACAACAAAGAGCACCGCCAGTAGAATAGACGCTGCTGAAGCATACCGCAAAGAGTCTGCGGAGGCAAGCTATAAAAGACTTAGTTATCACAGTGTTATAATGTTTACCAAGTTCCAACAATTTTCAGTTTCTTATTTAGCCCCGAAAATCATCAAATAACATCACAAATCCCTTTAAAAGTCAGATTTCTGATATCTAAGGGTGATCAAATCCCTATGCCAAAGAAAACGAAGAATGATATAAGATGTCCCTCAAATCAAGTTTTTGTTGCACATGCACTTAATTCTTGAAATTCAATCAGGATAGTAATCACTAGGATCACCACGCGTTGGTGGAAAACACATACTTTAACATTTTCTACTCACCAATTCTCCGTAAAATAACCAATGGAAGCATAATAAAGAGCACGACAAACAAAAGCGCATATGCACGCGAATTCCACCAATGGGTGCCAAACCATTCCTGAAGTACGCCCAAGTGAATTGACCCTCCAGAACAATTTCCTGAGAGCACGTCTCCTGCATACATGAATTTGAATGAGTCCTGAACCACGATGATGAAAAGCATCTCTGTGCAGGTGATGTCACAATCATGTCATATTGATCCAATATCCTATACTTAATTGGACATTGCCAGTTTCAATTCACCTACATAATCACATAGAATTCAAGAGTACACTTCAACTAATTACGAACGTATTGCTCTTTGTTGGCATTTGTCGTTTTTGAACATGTAGGTGGACATCCAGCTGATCCCTCAGTTTCTGGCTCAACCATGGGAGACTAACTGAGCTAACTAACAAAGTAATAAAGCTAGTAAAGGACAAACAAACTGGTGCAAGCATGTACACGGCAAATTGTAACCATCTGTGACTGAAGTAGGCAACTATATCAATTTTACTATCAAATTCAAGCCCCCCAACGCTGGCAATTCCAAACAAAAGAAAGTACATGTCGTAATTGAACTGATAAAATCATATCTTCCTTCTTCTGAGACATAGAGGTGACATACAAAAGATATGCATATTGCAGACCAAACAAAAGTAATCAAAGTCGCTAGATAGGTAGTCCTATGTAAATAATAATCAAACTATCAGAAACGTACCAATAATAATCAAATAAATAATCATGGCACCCAGGTTAGTGACCAAGACACAAACTTGAAGAGCAACAGCTCCAGGCTTGCCAAATGACTCGGCCATCAGAGCACCATAAGAATCCAACTCTCCCGTATGACGGGTGTACTTCAACAAGAATTCCACCGTGACCTCAACAAAGAAAGCAACAATCAAGATTACTGCGAAACTGGGGATTATCCCCAGAACCTTAAAAGTTGCCGGAATAGACATGATCCCTGCACCAACCATGCTGGTTGACACATTAAAAATGGCACTATACATTGATGCCCCCTCTGATATTCCCACCCCGTCTGACTGAACCGCCACCTCCGGTAAAAGAGGAACACTTGCTCCGGCATCTCTCTGCTGTTGTTGTTGTTGCTGTTGTTTCATTGTTCCTTCGTCCTCCGGAACAAAAGTCTGGCATGTCACGCCCTCAGCCTCAGAGTACTACGGGCTTATTAATATACATACCTGTAGAAAGAGGTGAAATTTCAGCAGCAGTCGCAGCTGAAAAAGAAAGCGACAACCGCCCCCAACAAACTCCACGAGGTGGGCCGTTCGCTCTGCACAAAAAACTGGGGGAGACGAGGGGTCAAAAATCATTCGGGGTTTCATGAATCATGGGGCAGAACAGACTGTTAAATCGACAAATACTTGCATCAGGCGGACCTGGGATTACTCCACCTACATACAATGCAACGCGAGATGGCAGTAGAAAAGTTGATGACGATTTAATGGGCGTTATCAATTATGAAATCAGATAAGGACGTAGATAGGATGCCCAGAAACCATTTAGGGACATTTTTGGATCTGACTTTTGTGGTTTGTAACATGGTTGCATTGCAGCAGAGTCGCCAATCCTAGTCCTGAATGTTGTGCTACTAGATTTATTGCCTGTCCATTTTTGATATAGAAACCAGCCGCCCTGGACGATGTAGGACCGTGTTAAATTGTCTTATTCATTAGACTGCCGAATTGGAAGGACGTGTTTATTGTCCATTTACTAATAATAATTACGTGTGGTCCATAAATAATAGAGTTCATGGGCAGCAAAACAAGATGATGTCTCTTTGAAACTTTCCCTAATAGTCAACATCTACAGCCGAAATTTTGAGATGCATGCATGTGTGATTACAAGGTTTTTTTGGTTCAAATCGAACTTGGAAGCAAAATCATTTTGGTTTTGGCTATGGGATGGATATATGCTATTGATTAATTAATTGGTTGAAATCTAAGTTACGAGTGAAAAAGATAGAGACCGAGATGTAACAATGTCTTTTTTCTTATTAAGTAATTTTCATAACAGTATACTAAACGACAGAAAAGAGCATCATTTTCTGTAATACCAATTCATGTCCCTCGTACCCATTACTAAATACCCTTTTTAATCGAATAGATTCCATCAATGAACCATTGGCCCACTCCATTCTTTTTCCAAAGGCCATCGGAATCGAATCCAAGAATTGTTGTACGGGCCTGGGGAGGGATGTCAAGGAGGTTTGATCAGAGGAAAGGACTAAGGACGGCCGAGGCCCAAACCAAACCTTTTCGGCTTTAGCTGGGCTTTTTGCTGTGCGAAGAAGAATAGGTAAAATGGTACGTGGCATTACCGCATTAGCAAAAAGCGTACGGTGCCCTGTCGCGTTTCTTTACCTTTTCCTATTTGAGTAGCCATTTTCTCCATTAAATCAAAAGTTCCTCTGCTCTACGAAGAAATATCGAAGAATGGGGGACCAGATTGCTCGAGCCGAAGAATTTGAGAAGAAAGCCGAGAAGAAGCTCGGCGGATGGGGACTCTTCGGCTCCAAACATGAAGACGCTGCCGATTTATTTGATAAGGCTGCCAACGCCTACAAACTCGCCAAATCCTGTACTTTTTCTAAGCTTTTATGGTTTCCTGATCGATCTTCTTTTTTATCGCCAGTTATAATGGGATTCATTTTTACAATTTTGTTCTCCTTTTCCTGCGTTGCTATTGAGCTGGTTTAGGGTTTAATTGTGAATTAGAGGTAAATGCGATTGGTTAATTGATTTGACGGATTAAAATGATCCAGTTATCGATCGGACACGTTGACCAGGAAAGGTTTTGACTTTTGTACTTCGCAGTTCAAAAGGTAGGCTTATGATTATAGCTAATTGGTGCTTGTTGGGGATGTTTAACTATCTAAAGAATAGGGAAGTGCAAATTCAAGGGCATCCGAGAACGCACAAATATCTGTTTTGGGAAGTTTTAGATATAACGTTGTAACATTAGTTAATGATTTCTAATTTTTAGAAATAATATCAGAAACCTGCATAAGCGCAACTGTTATTTCTAATTTATTAGTTCAAGAATCTAGATTTATTGAAGAAAAAAGAAGCTGTTGCCTTGTGGTATTGGTAATTAAGTTGATTTAAAAATAAATAAATTTCAGCGTTCGTCTTTTTGCTTGTTAAGAAATACGCATTCTTCTCTTTGTATTCATATTTGGTAAATGGGAATCGAGCCTTTCAGTTTCTTGAAGTGGCTGATAATTGATTATTTGTAGTTCCTGACTGACATTTATTTACTCAGTCTCTGTAAGTTTGTTAAGCTGAATTCTGCTGCTGTTTGCCATTAATTTAGACTTTTGGGGTCTTTCAGGGGATCAGGCTGGAGCTGTGTATGTCAAGTTGGCAAGCTGTCATCTGAAGGTAAGTATTTGAAAGTTGTTGATTGCTTGGATCTATCTACCTCCTATTTTCTGTATCAATTCCGTAGCTGTTCTCTTTTGCTGTACTAAATTTCGTAATTTTGATATCACAGTTGGATAGCAAACATGAAGCTGCAAATGCTTATGCTGATGCTGCTCATTGCTATAAGAAGACAAACATTAAAGGTTTGGTCTCTTGCCAGTTTTGACACACTGTTTGAGCTCAGACTATGGCTGTCGGTTATCACTCAATACAATCATTTGTCTGGTGGCTGGTTGTTTCAGCTTAAATTGGAGATTAGTCTTAGTTTTTAGTTATTGATTACATGATGTTTTTAGGAACTTGTCCATATTTCAACGCCAAAAATGTAGATTAAATATTGTCTTAAACTTTATTTCCTTTGCTTGCTTTGTTTCTCATGTTATCAGTTGGCTTCTTCAGCAGCCAATTTTACCCCATCTTTTTTTGCATATAAGCGCTACTAAAATTCCAGTAGTTTATTGAGGTGCTTCTTTGCAAATTGAACCGCACTGTAAGAAATGCAATGAACTTTCTTTTTAATCCTAATTTCCAGCCTAGCTTTTATCTGTTTTGATATTCTTGTTCCTTTCTTCCTCTGATCTTCATCCAACCCCATTTTGGGATTTAAGCCATCATCTTTTCACTTAGATTATAGAGCTTTTATTTTAGGAACTGTTGATGGCTGATAATTTGATTCTTCACAGAGTCTATATCTTGCTTGGAGCAGTCCGTGAATTTGTTCTTGGAAATTGGAAGGCTCAATATGTCCGCAAGATACTACAAGGTGCAATCTCTGTGACTTCACCTAAATAAAATATCTTTTGCCCATGTAGTTATCTTCCATCTTATTCTTGAAGCTCCTTTCTTTTTTCTGAAAGAACAGAATGTCTTTTAGGTAGATTTGATACTTTTGTGATTCATATGTAAAGTTTTCATGTCTCATCTAAAGTATTTCCTGATACTGTAACATCAGTACGTACAGACTATTGGTCAACTTATCAGAACTCGTAACCTACGATGCTATATATTTACTGTCTATCAAACCATGATGGCTGTGATATCTGCTTTATCCCTTAATCTATGTTTCCTTACTTTTGAGTGTCAGCTATTGATTCCTTTATTTGAATCTAGGAAATTGCTGAACTATATGAGCAAGAACAGAATTTGGAGCAGGCTATTGTCTACTATGAGAGAGCAGCTGATCTTTTCCAAAGTGAAGATGTCAACACCACTGCAAATCAGTGCAGGCAGAAAATTGCCCAATTTGCTTCTCAATTGGAACAGTAAGCCTGTCTTCAATACAGATGTTATGTTTTTCCTCATTATTTAGAGTTTAAGCATAGCGTGTGTGAAGAAAACTAAAATACAAGCCATTTGTCTTCTTATCATACGTAGTTTTATGCAAAATGGTCATGAACAGTCAATGCAGAAATGGGAAGATGGTACTAAAGTTTTAAGGTTAAGAAGCCTGAGTGCCAGCTTGCATATGGTAGTTACTCCCAGGTAGCACGTAAATGATGTTTTAGCTGATACAAGTTTGGAAACTACGGTAAGATGCAAGAAAGAGCAAGGAATTGGTCATAAGACTTTTTGTTTTTGCCTTAAAATGCTCTGATAGCAGAAGGCCATTTAACCTCATTAACTTCTCAATTTCAGGGTCACAAAATGATTCCGATAACTTCATCTCTTTTTTCTGGGTATTAAGTTTTTTGGAATTTTCACAGTTTACTGATAATCATAATGCCCTGCAGATATCCAAAGGCAATTGAGATTTATGAAGACATAGCCCGACAATCACTTAATAATAACTTGTTAAAGTACGGAGTGAAGGGGCATCTTCTTAATGCTGGCATATGCCAACTGTGTAAAGGTGATGTTGTGGCAATCAATAATGCACTGGAGCGGTATCAGGTACTACTGATATGGGTACTTTTGGTTAGGCTCTGGAGAGTTTCGCTTTTGTTCTCTCTGTCTGACATTGGTATGTACAGGAACTTGATCCAACGTTCTCGGGAACACGGGAGTACAGACTTTTAGCGGTATGTAATATCTTCTGAATATCCTCTGGTTTAGCATTTAAGAGTCTTTTTTCTGGCTAGAAATGGGGAGCTTCTGCTGTCTAGTCCTTCATATAGTTTTATTAGTTGTCTGAACTTCTTTAGCCACTCCATTCTTGTCTCACCAGATTCATGCTTATTTTGCTTTCAACAGTTGCCAAAGATATGCCCATTTTCTCTTTAATAATTTATATAGTCTCAGATTGTCACTTTCCTGTTTCCACTCTTCAGCAAAAAAACACGATATAAAGGCTTCATTTGTTTGCTGTTGTAATGACAGGATTTGGCTGCTGCAATTGATGATGAAGATGTGGCAAAGTTTACTGATGCTGTGAAGGAATATGATAGCATGACTCAGCTGGTAAATTGAGACTTGTTGTTTGATGCTGTGTTCTCCTATTTTTAGAATTGAAATCTTAAAATTCTGCCTTTGTTCTGATAAAACTTTTTTCTGGTTCGTGTATTTTATATTGACATGAAGTGGGTACCATCAGATGAAGCGAAAAGATAAACATATTACGTGCAAATGAGATCTTCTTAGTATAATTACAGAAGTTTAAGTATGTGATTCGTATTGGTATGGTGTTACTTAAAAAGGGATGGATGCAATTGCTAAAATGTTATCAGAATTGAAAAGTTATATATGTTCTATTGAAGGATTTAGATGTGTTTTCTGAAGTGTGGTGAAAAGGCTTTAAAGGACAGCCTGCTCCACACTCTCTGTCTGATGTTGCCCTGCCTGCGCAAGCTAGATATGTTTTTGCTGTGACAGTTGCTAAATCAACGTGATCACTACTGAATTTGTACCAATAATCCTAACATTGTATGTGGTGACTAAGCATTGTCTTTATATTATTTGTTTCAGGATGCATGGAAAACTACTCTTCTCTTGAGAGTGAAGGAAGCATTGAAGGCCAAAGAGCTGGAGGAAGATGATCTTACCTGATTATTTTTTTTAACTGACACCTCTGACCCATTATGTTTTGATTGGTTTGTACGGTGTGGTCGTGTGTGTCTCCTGTATGCTCGTGTTCTGCTCTTATAATCTTGGGTTCCTTCACTGCGTGTACAATTGATTTAGTATGTTTCTTATATTGAATATAGTGTCACATTTCCTACATTGTCATGTTAAAA